TTTCTTTGTTTAAGAAAACAATAAAAAATAACAGTTGAAATTGGTCTAAAGAAAATTTTTTTTAATAATAAGAAGAATTCTTTATTAATAATAAAGAAATAAAAGCCGAATTAAATTGAAATATGATTTAATTTAGATTTTTATTAACTTGAACTAAATATATAATATTTGAAATTCTATGTGAATTTCAAATATTACATATTAAGTTCAAGTTCAACAAGCAACAAATAACACCATCTAGTGTAGTGTATGTAAAGCTTATAACAACAACTAACTAACCTGCTACTAGAAAATTGTGAGACATTACCTTTTTAAATACATACATGCACATCACATATAGAAAATATACAGGTACTTTCATACACTCATACACTTAAATACAAATATTTGTGGTGTGCGATGATCGAAACCAAAACCATACAAATCTGGAGTATTTTAATAAACACCAGTGTGGTTGTCAAAAACACCATAAAAATCGGAGGTCTCAAAATAAAATTAATTTCTAACTCTATCAGACTTCTTAAAAACTAATTTCATTAAATCTATAGTAGCAATACTAGTATTTATTAACAATCATAGCCTTGTCAACAAACAATCACTTATCACGTTATTTTGAGTTGACAGAATGTTCTTTTACTGACCTGTATAATCATGTATCTCTTTTTCTAACCATCATTACTTAATTTTTTTAAATTCATTATTTATTGTAATATTCATATCTATTTGTCCCTTAAAAAATCTAGTATGTGGTTTAAAACATATAAATGTTACTATACCAATATATACTTTCTAAAGCATTTCTTTATGTATTTGAAATGCCAAAATCATTCCTAAACTGCATAATACTGATATAATCATAAAGTGATTTACTCAAATTCCATACTAAATTCTTGCATCATCATAAAGTATTTGTGTCAAAGAGCCACGTCCTTTATTTCTTTTTAGTATAAACGAAAGAAAGTTTTCTTCTCACGCGTTCCTGTGTCCGGTTTGCATCAGACGATTTTCCTTTAAAGTATAAACAAGTATCTGCTGACCTAAAACTAGTCCGCAAGCAAAATAGAACCATATTCCACAGTGAGAAGACACTTATAGCAAAATGTGATTGTAAAGATATTTCGGTACGAGTATTGCCCATTGAACGTGCTCATAAGTCTTTTATTCATTTACCAACTTATTTCGTACCTTATAATATTATAAATCTAGAGTTTAAAATTAATAAATGCAATTTCGTAATAGGAAGATGATCTGAAGATGGTATATTCATTGACAAACGTTATATAAATATAATAAGAATTTATTTCAAGCGAAATCGTGCCATATTCATAGAGTTCGTGAAGTTTACTTTGCAATGATCATAATGAAGTTTGGCTAAAGTCGGAAGGGGCGATTACATAAAACATGTGAGGTACAGAAAGCCGCTGGGCCTCAGGCTACAAAGGCGAAAGCAGCTCGTCGATGACTAATATTCAACAGGTAGGCCACGGAGAAACAAGTTGAGAGGATATTATAGAAAGAGCAGATATGAAACCCTATAATTTTTACAAAATATTTCCAAATTATGCAATAAATTTTTAAACTGTACTGTGAAAATAATAAACACATCACCTGAAAGCGCTAACTGTAGCCTATATACATGAACATTATTACAGACATCACATCATCATGTAATATACTTCTTATTCATTGCATTTCTGGAATACATGTCATACTACTGTACACATATCGGATGAAAAGTTAGTAAATAAAATAATGCACGGGAAGACCAAGTTGTATGGACAAATAATAACATGTTTTTTTCATAAGCAATACCAATGAGAGAAATTATGAGTCTCCGCAATAGACATGCGTGATTCCAATGATGAAAGTTAACATAGGAATATGTATATATAAGGATAGTTGCTGTTGACATTTCTCCTACCACCCAACGGATATGTTTTCTGTAAAAGCATTAATAATATAGAAATCAGCTAATGAGTGACTCAGTTCAGGATTATGTTGGAAATAGTAAAAATAACGATGGATTCTACACTTGTTGGAGAATTTATATAAATTTGTACACGTGGTGGTATATCTTACCTATTTCTGTAGCAGCTTCTTTTGCAATTTTCACTCCTGTATTTAGGTATATATATAGTAGTGAAATTACATACAGGTCACAATACCTAAGTCGTAAAGGAAAGTAGTAGTAGACTCATTTACTTCTTTTTGTTTTGGTCCATATTCTGCCACTCTATACAGTATATATATCTCACAGATAACATAATAGTATTTATATTCTATCACTGTGATTCTATTGAGATCAATTAAAGAAGAAGATATAGTGCCCCAACTCTAAATAATGAGATGATAATTATAACCCTGGACAATCACACAGCGTAGTTTCAAGCTAAACAGAGGTTGTGTTATAGTTACTAGACAACTAAAAGTAAAAATACTTAAATGTATAGATATTTTATAAATACATAGAGAAATTACAGACTTACAAAAAACACAGATCCCGGGATATACCTGGGGTTAGTGCAGAGAATGCGTCGAATAACATGATTAACCAGTACAGTATATAAATACTGTACTGGTTAATCAGAAATGTATTTCATATTCTAAATTTAGAAATAAATTTGTAGTTATTTCATTGTACAATATTGTTTATACTGCACTGTCTTGACAATCATTCCTAATATGTATCTATTTATTCTAAGTCTTTTTCTATATTTTCTTTTTCTCTATATATATATATATATTAAATAAAACTACACCTTATACAAACTTCCACTCTTATTTATATTGTATTGTGTATATTCCGTAATGAATATAGTTTTCCTCACAAATTGAAACAGTCCTCAGCCAAGACATCTTTCTAAGCCATTAAAAATTCAAAATTCAAACTTAGGCGAAAATTAAATACAATGAAACTCAGTATAAAATATTCACAATACTTAGTAATCTATTGAAGTGTAATATAAAGGTCTAAATATAAAACGTATCTGTAATATAAAACGTCTTGAAATTATCTACAAAACGCAATCTATAATAATCGTTATAGCAGATGAGGCAAAACGAGAAAACAGTGGAACCAATGTCATTGTAAAGTCGAGAAACTATTACGTCACTCACAACTTTTACTAAAGTCAGCCGGACGTATGAAAAAAAAATATACTTTCACTCTGTGATGCTATTCAGAACCGAAACGACGCTAGCACCAATAATTAACACTCTGAAATGAATCATAAGATGTAGAAAATAAGGAATAATTTGAATTTTTATGCATATCTAAACATGACATAGTTTTAAAGGAATGATCTAGCATGTTGTTAGACAATGAAGAGGTCAAAGGCTCTGGAAGACATAGTTTTGTCTTGGACATGATTTATGTCAAAAGTTTAATAAAAAAATACAAAAATAGAAGGTATTAAAAATAAAAACGTGAAATGTATTTTTGTTAACACTAATCAAATGATATATATATATACATATATGTATGCATTAATACAGATATATTAGATATCTGTACAGACAACTACAAAACTTTCTGTTTTGTCTATAATAGTTTAACATACAATATGTTTAATACCGCGTGGTAATAAATCAGCAATAACATTTATATTACAACTAGCTATTACCTACGACTTTGTCTACACAAATATATCTCTTAGTTCTCCTTTCCAGAATATTTATGGGAACAAAAAAGAACTTATGTCTGTCCTCGTGATACAAAATCTCATCTATCTTTTTAGCAAATTTCATTAATATAAATCTAGTCGTGAAAACGTAAAAAAATAGACTAAGTATAAAACGAAGATATGAAAACCGAATTAGTATTTTAAAAAAATCAATTCATTATTAACATTATTACAATTACTTGTTATATTTAGATACACATTATTATTTAAAAAAATATTAAATTTCATACAAAGTATGTTGTTAATCAGAATAAATGCTCACTATAGTAATTTCAACAATTTTTATAGTGTAAATTAAATAATGATTACTGAGTCTCGTTACAGAAATGAAGCCGACCATTATCTCCGGCTATCATCAAAATAAAAAATAACAAGCCCGCTAGTTGTTGCTGCGTAGATTGTTTCATTGAGATTAGAACAGATTGCTTTGATTGGTAGATCATTATCACTATCATTAATACTATATTTGTTATTATTTTCTCTAAATAAAGTTATATTATTTTTATCGATGCTTTAGAAGGAATTGTAAACTTTTCTGCGATGATGCGTTAATCATTCATCATATCATCATACTATAGGTTATTGGATGAATTTATTAATACTAAGCAGTCCAGTCAGCTAATAAAGAACATTTCATTATTATATTTTATTTTGATAATTTGTAATCTTTAGTTAATCTCTTTTATATAGGTCATACTTATATAGGTGTACCTATTTTAGAACAAAAAAATAATATTGTTAACATAATATACATATATATTGTCAGATAGAACAGAATGATGAATATAACAATACAATACCATTTCATTAAAGAAGATACAAGAATCAAACCTTATTTGTAGTAGCAATCACGATTATGAAATGATATACATATATATATGACAAATTATAAAACAAAAATTTTATTGTCACAAATCAAATCAGTTCATTCTAATTCAATAGAACAATAACAGATAATAGAGAACTGTACCACACGTAACCCAATGTCCACGTAACCGAAACTACGTCTATTATGCAATGTGCCGTAATACCGACATATGAATCACAGATCACTCTCACAGATTTGCAAATTATCCACTTCGAATTTTCACCCCATTGTCGAGTCGGACGTGGGAATCAACCCGTGACGGAGTCTTGGGTTCTTCACCAAAACAATGGCAAAGTTCACCGAGACATAACAAGGAAAGTCTATAAAACACTCGGAGACTTGCTACAATTTCGTTATACGTAATATTAGAAGCATCACAAACGGTGGTGCTTGCAAAAACGCGATATCCTTCGGATATATAGTGGAATTCAGCTTCAATTGTTCTTTTCTATGTTGTGGTCTCTTTTGTTTTCAAAATGTCATCCTTATCTGTATTGTTAGCTTTTCTTTTTGTTTCATTATATATTATAGAAGTAATACCAATACAACTGGAGTTACAAAAAGGAGAAGAGTATAAGGAGAACGTTGTGGATGATTCAAATTTAAACGAATGCATAAGTGTACAAAGAAGTGCAGAGTTGGGTGTTTGTTTTGGGAAAGAAATATTAAATAATTTGAACAAGTTCAACGAAGCTGACACTTTTAGTTTGGCAACTGGAGTATCATTTGTTAGAGATGAAAAGACTCCAAGAGATATTGCAAGTTTTTTGGATAAGGATCCAATGGATTTTCGGTACAGTTTTATAATATAGTTTAATTTTCTTTTAATAAGAAGATTAATTCATACAAAACTTAAATTCATAATACCATCATATTACCAGGAGCCTATATATTTTATATTTATATTAAATCATTATCCGTTCTGATATAATTATTATTTTAGCATTGAATTACAATAATAATAAATATCAGAATAAAAGGTTACCTTATAGATAACCATTTAAATTCTTATAGATACAAAATATAAAAAGATTGCATATGTATTAATAAATTGAATTGAAATCCATAAATGCAATTAGATTTTTTCTCTTAAAAATAAGAATTAGAAATTTGTAAGCAGACTATTGTACAAATTTCTATTCAAATATAAATGCTTCTAGCTCCATGATGGAAGATGCCAGCAATTTGATTTCTAAAAGGTCGTTGCACTGGGATCTCAGTACGTTATACCCAGGGCTAGTAATGAGGATCGGACCGACTCTAGCTAATGGGGTCTTGGAATTCGTCATGGACCCGAGAGTAAAAGATCGGGCATATCATCAACATCCGCATGAAGTTTCTACAGGTAAGAGTAACCTAAAATTACTAAATAAACAAACTTACTATTTATAGTAGGTAGATCAATAAATTTATGTAATAAAACTATTCATCCTTAGGTCAGTCAATTATCGGGGCCAGTAAAGAATTTGATGCAAAAAAATGTTTTAAAAAGATTTTTATGTCATAATATTGTAATCACATTAAAGACAACATCATGCTACTTTAATGAATCTAGAACATTTATATTATTAACTTTATTTTGATAATGATATTTCTGTTAATGTAGTTAAACATAAAGTAGACGCCATCTATGATTTTATACGTGCACTAACTCAATTTTATGTATATACATGATAGTCATTGAATCCGACATAGTGGAGACATCTTTTACGATAACGTTGTACTTTTACTTATATTGCTACAGACTTATTGCTTATCAACTACAGATTCTAAAGTAAAGTAACTTAATGTTAAGTTACTAATATATATAAATTAAGTTAATGTTATTATAATAGTTATTTCTTATTTTCAGGACGTTTATTGGCAAGAAACTTATTAGTTCCATTTCTGCTGGGCTTTAAATTTCAGCTGTCGACTTTATTACCACTTATTTTAGGATTAGTTTTGATAGCAAGTAAGAAAGCTTTCTTGCTATCAAAATTGGCTTTACTAGCAGTAACTGTCTTCAGTGGTGGAGGCTCAAGTTATGGTAGCTCATATGGAGGATCGTTTGGAGGGCTCAGTAGCCCTACATTATCATCGTATTCTTCATTTGATAGTCCTGTGCATAGTCATGAACATCATTCTGGAGGTCAGTATTAATAAAAATAAACATTCACCCCTTATTAAAAATATACAAAACGTCTTGCAATATATATACAAGATGTTTTGCCTAGTACAATTACATTCAATTCAACATTTTTATTTCCAAATTTGGAGACATTTACAACTTTTTCTCAGGTTCTACTACTTGCCGATGCATAGTAACGAAACCTTTTAAACCATATGGATTAAAGCATAAAGTTGAAAATGTCTCTAAAAATGACAACGTGGTGAGTATAATAAATGAAGACTCTATGCGAAATTGTTATAAATAGAAATGAAATTAAACATGATTCCAAAATTAGTGAAAGTAAATAATGTTAATAACTTTGCAATAATGTTATTTGTTTTCTTCTTTGATGTATACATATATGTAACAATATAAATAGCATTTTTTTTAATGTTATTTTTACTATTAGCACAGATAACATAATATTACATACTATTAGTATAAAAACTAGGTTATCTCGTATAGTCTATTCTATTATTCCTGCCTGTAGATTTGTAAGTATGAATGTCCTAATTCCACTACTAGTTGGTTTACTAGGTTGAACCACATACCAATTATGAAAATCCAGTTATAAGTTATTTCTTGACATATATAAGTTATCATTAACTTTACTTAATGATAACATTAACATAAATTAATTATGGAATGACATTAGATATTTTACATTGAATTTATCCAGTTTTATTTTATGTCTTGAAATGTTAATTATAGATAATGATAAATTATAAAACGTTTGATATCTATCGTTTTATATTTCTATCTGAAAATGTACAACTTTCCTTTATATTGATTCCATTCCATATTAATTCAGAAGACGTCTTTAATAAATTTCTATAAATATTAATCTCAAATTCAAATAACCGCACTGCATCCCAATCTTTATTAATTTAACGTTTATTATTATTATATTAAAAGTTTTTAAAATAAATAAAAAAACAGTTTGTGATCATGACATAATCTGTCTATTAAGTTCTAATTATATATCATGCACTAAGAAATCCTACATACATATTTACATATATCTACATATACATTTACCATTCCAATTGTATTATTTGTCCTTACAAACTTTTTATTAAAATAGGTCTAAAAAGTTTTAGTATTTATATCGTCCCGCAATCGCCTCCGTATAGACATTTTTGATTTCAGGATACTATAACCGAAGACCACATCACGCAGAGTATTATTACAGAGAAAAGTCAGCAGAACAAACCACAGCTACACCTATCACCCCGGACGAGTTACGAGACAGACTAGAGAGACTGTTCATAACGAAAAAAGATATAATTGATGAAACCAGAGACGAAACTAAAGTGAGAAACGCTAGAAATTTTGCATGGACTCCAATTAATACGGGATAGTTGTATTTGGTCATACATACAGATATGTATTGGAAATATTTAAAGGAGTTATCAAGAGAACCCGTTTTGTAAACTAGCTCTTGTATTAATTAATCCTAATATACCCTTTCTGTGTAGTGTATTCTAATTCACTCTAGCTTTCCAGACGCATGTTTACTTAACGTTAATTATGTTATCCAGAAATAAAGGTTTTTGTAACGAACTAAACTAGGAATCAGAAGAAAAATCTAAGAACATTTATATTTTGGTTGATTCATTATTTGCATTTAATATCATATATTTTTCTAAATAACACCTATAAAGTCTGTTACGAATTATTTCAACATATCCTTTATAACATTCATAATCTATTATAAATTTATTATTCTGTTTGTGCTTTAAATATTATTCTATTCTTCTAGTCAATTCTTTAATTAGGCTATTCTCTGCACACAGAAAATCGTATACAGGGCTGACTGAATGTCTAATTGATTTCTGAATTATTGTATGTTATATTGGAGTCATAGTGCATTTTAATATATATTTCATTACTTATAATTTTGCAGTAGCTAACACTTAAACGGTGATGCTCGCTAACAAATAATAATTGTAATAATACATTAATCTATGGCCACTAATAAATTTGGTTGCTAACCTTGATCACTGAATGTTTATTTATTAAACACCTACCTCAAAACACTATATTCACGAATTATTAGTGATTATACATATATATATTTATTTTGAATACAATGTTTTAAGGTATAATTTCCTTATATTTCCTTCATAATTTACTACAATTATTTCATAATTCATAATTAACATACTATATCTTAGCTAATACTACCTATAAATGAGAAAGTAAGTATTTATTTAATTTATTTATATACCTATATCACTCTAAAATAATTTACTTTACAAATAATTTCTCAAGTCGATGCTGTGGTACTGGTGTTTACTTTTCTCATGACCAAGTTCGCTCTCTCTCTCTCTCTTTATAAATGAGAATAAATATGATGTAATGATGATAAGAATTAAGTAAAAGCAAACATGTGATGATGAAATACTATAAAATACTACACTCTTGCTCTTCTTTGTTATGTTAGTAAATACATATTTTTTACTAGGTATTACTACTAGTAACTGACTGAATCACTACTGATTGATAAATCTTGCATCTTTTTATATTTGACTAGTTCACTGGTAACATTCGTATCGCTTCAAAAATAAAAAATAATAGTTATAGATGAAAAACAAAAAAAAAATTCTTTATCAGTATATCCGTTTTACATACATTACCATAAGAGTCCTTTCATACAAAATGTGTTACAAAATTTTGTATGGAAGAGCCGTTTTCATTATTTTCTAACATTTAATTATTTGGTAATGCAATACGAGATACTCTCTATCATGATTATAATCCAGAGTTTCCTGACCTATAAATAGTGTAATAAACCCAGTATTATTCTCTATACACATTTAGAATTTAAGGAACAAGATAGAAAATTTATCTCAATCTGATTTATTAGTGCCGTGTCCCCATTAAGACATCCTGCTTTGTCTTTATGATTACGCGCTCTGTTAACTTGGAAACGGCTATTTCACTTCTATTTGTATCACATACGTACATCGACCATCGGACATTTTTCATTTCCAAAACCGTGAAAAGTATGTTCTACGGAACATTAATAATCTATACTTCTATAATTAAAAAATATATGTCATATATAACTAAATTATAATTGCGAAATGTGTATGTGTACTTCAAAATGCCTTCTCACGACTATACGGATGAACTTTGACTCGAATATAAATTGTATCATAAGGACGGATTTAGGCTAATTTTTATATATAAAACAGACGAAAAATAACATAACGAGTGGTAAAAAATATAATAAATGTAAAGTTCTGGATTATTTATTAAATTAAACTTCTCTGAAATTTTGTACCACGACGGGACGTGCCGACACCACAAAACTTTGTGTCAATGTACCTATATTTCTAACAGTCTCTTCAAAAATTCAAATCTCTTATCTATTTCTTAAATGAAGGAGACAATATTCGCATAACTCCTGGCACGTTGTATTCAAATAGCGCGTACATAAATCAAATTCATCTACCCCTCATCTAAAGGAATGTAACATAGAATTATAACAATAATAATAATAATGAACTATTCACAAAGCGCCATCTTTTATTCTTCATCTAATCCTAAGCTAAGCAGAGCTTGTGTTATGGGTACTAAACAATGGATAGAAATACTTAATTATTCTTTTTTGTAAATACATACACAATATAGAAAGAAGAGAAAAAGAGAATTGTTAGTAATGTGGACCCCATTGCTAGCTCTCCACGTGGAGGTCACCCTGACATGGTAATGTACCATGGCAAGTTCCTCTTGGAAACAATTGTGATGAATTCCTGGTGAATATACTACAATGGCCTAACTGGCGACATCATACTCATCTTATCATCCTTCACAGTGCCCTGCTAGCGTAAACTGTTAGCGCAGCCGGGTAAACCATACTATTATCTTACATAAAAAAAAATATACATAGAAAAAACCCTGAGCAATACAAATAATCGTACTCATGAATACAGATGTTAGTGTGTTAATGGAACCATCGAAAGAAAGGCGTTCTATACCTCTAGAACACCAAGGTCAATAAATTGAACAGTTCATTACTATTACTAAAATACATCAACCTATCATGGTATCCTTCCGCTGTTACCATTTCTAAAAATTAAAGTATTATGCCTCACTGAAGATTCCTCCAAGATAATTTCCAGACGTAACGTACACGCAGTCTCGTTTTCCGACATCTTATGCTCACATGTATTGAATCCGTGATTTATAATGAGCCACCACTATTCTCATTGTTGGACTTTCATCTTTTTTCTTGAAATACCAACAATTATTAGCATTCTAGTGCGTGCTGATACATCACGCTCTCATCCGCAATCTTTGTTCAGTTCTCTTCAAATACATCAATAAAACTCAATATTGATTGGGAAAACATAATTTAAGATAAGTTATATAAACTTCTTTTCTGTCTATACATATAATAAATATGCAACTGATCGGTATCTGCACATGAAACATATATGAATAAACTATGTATTAACGTAATAGAACCCAACTATGATGAATAACAATGTTTAGAATTTAGTAAGTCTTTTTCTGTGTGCGGTTAATCAGTAACTAACAAATACATACCAACCGTTGGGTTGGTATGTATTTCGAAAGGTGAAATAAATGGTTTATTTTTATATTTTTGAATTTATTAATTTAGGTATCATAAAATTTTGGTTGCGTGATATGGATGTTTTCTTTATTGTTGTCGTTTATTTCTTATATTGATAGGAAATAAACGACAACAAAAATGGAGTTATGGGGACATCTATTATACAAATGTATGTACATGTAAAAATGCGGGAAGTCGCAATCATAACTATTAATAAATACCTAATGATGGACAACATACAGAACGCCATCTAGTCCGAAAATACGCAAAGCTTGTATTATAAGACAACTAATAAATATACTTCGATATATTTTTTTAACTATACACTAATGTAATGTGGCATCCAACATTCATCTTGAGTACCCATAACTTCTTGTGTATGTCACAAGATGTTATGGGTACTCAAGATGAAGAGGAAACGCCTTTATGATTCTTATGTAGTTATATAAGCGAAATATCTCCTTTGGAAAGTTCACACTCTATCCTGTAGGAGATAAAAGCCGTCGCTCTTAAGAATATCCTTCAATTCCAGTCCCTAACGGGTCTAGGCAGCAAACTCTGAAAAATGGCTAGCAGAATAGATCTATGTAGCAATGCAACAGGTTTTAGCAGTACAAAGGGGGGAAGGTGATTAGGTAGTAATGTGGATTCATGACCTCATTACTAGCAATGTACCATGTCAGGTCGACCTCCACGCGGTTCCTCGTGGAAACCATCTTGATAAATTTTGGTGAATTTATCACGATGGGCTAACTGACCTGACCTCATTCTCATCTTATCACCCTCCACTGGTGCCCCACCAGCGTAAACCGTTAGCGCAGGCGGGTGCACCATTCCATAATCACCGATAAAAAAAAAGCACCTTACAATAGGCCGTAAAAAAATGGGTATTCAGATTATTACTACCTACATTTTTTTTATTGAAGCGGTCATTTTTTGAATTCAGTAATTAGGTTGATTAAACACAAAAAAACGCGGTCGATATTTGTACTGTATATACGTGAAGGTACAGTGACTGTAGTTAATCGAGATGAGTATCGAGCGAGTTTCACTAGTAGCAACAAACGAAGACGCGTAGGGTACGCGAATATATCTGCCTATTTACCTGCATTTATTTACCATCTACGGCTGCTCTTTAGTTTACGCGTTTTCGCATCTCTTGTAACTTTAAAATATTGGGAGCATAATAATAATATATAAAACGTAATAAGATCCTGTGATTTCTCTTATTTTACGTATAAATTCTTAATTCATACTTTCCAACAAAATATGTGAGTTCATTCATTTATATGAGGGTTTTTTAACGGGCGCCCTATAATATATTAATTCCTATTTTAATAATCTTAACAAACCATTTACGCTCGAAATATTAATTTAAAAATGATTTTATTGGAATAATTCTGATTCAATATATGATTTATATTAAGAATACCTACAATTCAGTGACCGAAAACAAATAGTAGATAATGTTATTATTTATAACTTTTTTATAAAAACTAATTAAATACTGAATTGGTTTAAATAGCGGTCTGGTTGTGCTCTAACTGCGATATTCACCTGGAGTTAATTAACAACGGTATTGATAGCGTATTTTGCGATTAAATATAAACAACACACGCAACTTTACAGTGTATATCCGTTAACATATAATTCACATGTCTATGTATGTCTATACATATAAATAAAAGTGGAGTGTCCGTTTGTAGTATTGAAATAACCGTTTTTTACTACATGCATATGAATAATACGGTACATATACCAAAATAATATTTTTACAATTTTTGTCTGAATGTCTGTCTGTTTGTTCCGGTGAATTTCTGAATTGGCTGGACCGAATTTGACGGGACGTTTTTTCGCAGGTAGCTGATGTAATAAGGAGTAACTTAGGCTACTTTTATTTTAGAAACAATATTTTATATTAGTAAAATAAAGTTAAATTTCACATGGACGGAGTCGCAGAAACAGCTAGTGTACAATAAATAGTTTCTTTTAGAAAAATTTGTAAACAGCTAGTTGTAAATATATTAACAAGAAACGCATAATAGATTCTTAATGACATCGTTCTTAATTTTAAATTAAATAATTAATTTACAATATACACATTTTTATATTTTACTATTATTAATTTTA